AAAAAAAAGAGAGAGAGAAAAGAAAACAAGTACGATAAAAATAAGTGGAGAGTACAGAGAGAGTGGTGTAGAGATGAGTGGGTGGAAGAGTTGAAGGAGATTGAAAAAGGAAAAATCGGCAACCTGCCTCCTCTATCGCGACCAGCCACATTTCTCACGCTAAGGTAAATACCTTTTTTTTTAACAAAACTTTATAAGACAACCACCTGTACTTTACCACGTAGTTCAACCCTTTTCCTTTGAGGGTGGGAAGGGCTGATTTTTTATAAGTTGGATGTTTTTTTTTTCCTCATCGATTGCGGTCAAACCTTGGACGATCACTGGTGCGTGTCATCTACAGCGGACAGTTTATTCCTAGAACAATACAACCTGATAATTATTATTAAACTGGTGAGCTCTCAAGGTTAATCTTTTGAAGGAAGTTTAGACCTTTCCGTTTATATTATTTATTTTTATGGTGTACCTTTGAGGGATTAAAATATCCAACCCCTGGATCCATTTTCTGTTACATTCTTTTTATTAATTATTATTTATTCGGAGTTATTTTTCCTCTCTTCTAACGGTTCACAATTGTCTAAATAAAAAGTTAATTAATCACGAACTAGTGTGAAATCAAATAATAATTAATGAGAATTATAAAAAAATGAGGTTGAAGTAACAGAAAAATCCTCTCGTCGGGAATAATGGAGGGGATTTTTTGCCACCGCCTTATTGGGAACCGTCGAATCACCCCAATAATCCTCAGACCCACCCCCGAGGATTGACCCTGGGTGATTTGTGATTGACCCAATCCTCCCATCCATACCCGCTTTTTATTACACCCGAAATGTACAGCTGAAAGCAATAATCTGGTGGTCAGAGAAGATCCGGATTGTCGTGTCCTTTATCCGAAAAATTTTTCCAAAGCTTCTCGTGCGATATGCCCGAGGACTCGAACCCATTCTCGACGAATCGATTCAGTTCGAGATTAGAAGAGCGACTATTCCCTGGGTATACTGCAAAAAAAAAAAAAGTATCCTCAATTCAACCCCTCGGTACCTCGTTTTAGATGCGATACAGGCACAGGATTCAGGACGGGGGGAAGGGAATTTGGGTCATGATATAACAAGATGCACGTCCTGGGAGCATGACAATGCGACGAGAAAAAAAAGTTTAAGAAAAATTACCCCACGTATTACGCCATCGACAAGCGAATTTCTCATTTTCAGCGTTTTTACATTGATTCGGGGATTATGTCGCAAAAGAAGTACTCGTGAATTAAAATTAATTGTTTATTAATATGAGAAGACAAAAAGGACGAATAAGAATAATAAAATAGAATAATATACGACGTCAGAAAACATTTCCGGCGAATTCATCTGAAAATCGGGCGTTTTAATAAACCTAATAAAAAAGTAATAATAAATTCATCAATATCATTCGTGTATTTATTTATAATTTAATGTTGTACTGAATATTAATAATATTCCCAGAGATAAATACAAAAAAATGAAATTTCGATCCCAAATTTTTCAAAATAATTCGGAAAATCATATATATGTGAAAATAATTCATTACCGTAAGATGGATCTGGTTTGCATTCATGAGCGTGACAATTATAAGCTTTTTAATGGTAATGTTTGTTAAATATTTATCTCCGTGTTGAAAATTACTCACACCCGGAGTGACACACTTTTTTATCCTCTCGAAAAAAATGTCAACATCTATATTTATCCCCCCATAGCCATCGATCGATCCCCATTCAGGCTGCAGTGTTGTTAGCAACTGGGAGTCAAGGAGTGAGTCAGTGAGATCAAAGAAAAAAAAATGGAAAATCCTCGTCTGTATTTCTGCGCGCTTAAACGTTGAGGAATGAGTGGAGTTCTGACAAAGTCACGGCGTTCCTCCAAGTCCACTTCAGGTGCTTTGATCCTCAAATTTGCATCGTGTCAGTGGAATTGAGGGCTGACAGTGACCTTTAACTGGGCAAATGTATCTCTGGGTAAATGACGGGGAGTAAAGGAAAAAAAAAAATTGAAAGTGGAGTCGGAAGGAAGAAAACTGGTACGACGTGTCCTCACGCAAGTAGTCGATGGCGTGTGGCGAAAGTAGAGTTCGTCATGGGCGTCCGTGGGTCTGGGTCGTACTTTAATCCTAGTGGTGGTTTTGTACTGGAGGTCAATCCACACGGAGAACTATTTTTACTCCCGCGATGAAAAAAATACAGAGAGAATTTTTAAAATTGGGTTAGAGTTCCACAATTCAGGGATACTCAGGAAATGTCGTACCTTCAAAAATTGGATGACTTGGATGATGAACTTAAAATTTGCCGGTTGAAAATTTTTCCCAATTTTTTTTTGGAAACTTGTCGAATAGTTTCAACTATTCAACAACGATTTTCCGCAATTAAGCAACCAGGATAGTTAATCCCACAGTAGTTAAACATCACGATCACGAAATAGTGGTGTAAACCGAAGTGATGTTGGTGTATCACTGGTCAGCCGGCCAGTGGACGATCTTCCGAGTAATAAACCACGTCTTCCCTTTGTCCCCCCACCTCCAAAGTACCAACGAGAATTATAATACGGTAATATACACCGACGTTACAATCCCATCATTGTTTCCGTTTATGTTCCATTGTCATTTGAATGAGGGGGAGGGGATGGGGGCGGATAAACCGACGATTGACCCCGTTGACCCTAAATGGATCTAACTACCTAGAACTTTTCGGCAATCCTGTGGACGACGATCGTCTCGCCTCGGCTATTGTGTCTAGAACGTCGGCATTTGGCCGTTGTCTATGGTAAAGGCCCGACAATGCTGCCAACGTACAGCTGATGCCCTCAACCCGATCAATACCCAGGGCGTTGCGGCACACGCGGGCTGTACTACTGCGTCACGTGCAATCAGAAGAAAAAAAATTTTTCATTTTCAAATGCCTTTGTATTATCGGTTCATTTCAACACAATAGTTGTTAGAAAATATCAATAATTATTCAACTATTTATGAAATTGTTGTTGGAACTGCAGAAATATGAGCAATTATGAAACCGGTTTAGGAATTGTTGGTGTGTCTTGCTGAATTTCAATAATTATTTGAGTTTCTCCAATTTATTTATAATTTTAGGTTGCTTTTATGTTTG